ATACTTTCCGCCAGATTTGGTCAAGTTGGACCGTCTGGTCACGCTCAATCTGAATCACAATAATCTGAACTACCTGCCCTTTGCCATACGCCGCCTGCAGAAGCTGCGCTCGCTCCATGTGTCTAGCAACAAGCTGGAATCTCTGCCCGCTAGCATTGAGGATCTGCACATTGAGTTGCTGGATGTGTGGGGCAATTGTTTCAAGGGTTTCAATATGGAAGCAGCCCGTAAACAAGCGAAGCGCTCAACTGACAGATACACGCCCGCGCCGCTTTGGCTGCAGGCGGCACGCACTGTCGCCAGCCAGAAGCTGCCCTATTCGGAAAGCACTCTGCCCGCCATCCTCATCGAACTCATCTCAGAGGCGCCCACGTGCCTGTGCGGCAAGCTGTGCTATGCGATGGAAGCACGCGATCTGCTGAAGCGCGTCATGCAGCCCAAGTTCACCAATATCAAGAACTTAACCTACAGTCGCGAGCATCAAATCTACGCGGATGTTATCATCTGCGGCTCCAATTGTGCTGCCTACCAGCAGCTGAAGAGTCTATTCACGCTACTCATCCCTTGATTTATTCTATTTAATTTCAATTTATTTGTTGCCTGTTGTGAAGTGCGAGGTCGACTGAGAAATTTACAWACAACATATTTATTTATTTTGCAATTAAAATTTTAATTTTTATACTTAGTTGTTTATAGATCATTCCAATCATTTTTTATTTCTAAATCAAACTCTTCATTTTTCAAGCCATCAAACTAAAATGCGACTGAAATAATATTTATTATATATTAAAATAAAAAAGTCTAAGCCAATAAAATCGAATTTAATAATTTAGTAAGTATGGAAAGTGTATCATATGTACATATATTTCATAATTAATACATTAGATAGTTATGGTAGTAATATTTGTTCCATTTCATATGTATAATATATAAATTATAGGTTTAATGTATTGCTTGCCAAGTTGTATAGTTTCCGGCTTCACTTGGATTCTGATATTTAGCGAATTATATTTTAGTATATATTTTGAATATTATATGGAGACAAATTTTTTCTTTTTCATATTAAACGTTTTATTTTTTCTGTGTTCAATTATCATGTATTATATATAAAATATGCCATGATTTATAGTAATAGTATATAGTATTATATATTATTTGAGTATTGTTGCAATTTGTAATAAATCAATGAAATGTAAAATATCCCAAACGCTTTGTACCTCTATAGGTAGATCTATAATAATCCATATTATATTATATATCATTACATTCATAGCATTATCTCTAACTTAAAAGTATCTACTCTTTAATATTAATTTCATCTTCTATCTCTAGTTAATAAGCTTCCCCTCTTCACCCGCATCCTGCTCTGATGTATGCATGTAATGATTACTTTTCATTTTGTTTGGGCTTATAGGCTCATTGTATGGCTGCCCTGCTTGCTTGTTGCTGATAAGAGAAACTCTTCGTTAAAGTGTAATCAGCTCGCATGTGAAGCGCACTTTGCGGCTGCAATGAAAGCAGCTGCGAAATGGGACTCTCAATCGGGGACTCTCGCTTTCACTGCTGCTCACGCACACATAAAGACATTTACACGCACACGCAGACGCACACGCACGAGCTGTTACCCAGTCCCAGACTCTCTGCCCAGTTTCAGCATGCCAGCCACGCCCCCTGCTCCCTTGCCGCATCGCTTACTTTGTTTTCATATAACGGGCGCTCGTTGTTTTTATTATTAAAAGCTTCGTGCGTATGTGACTTGCATAAATGCCGGCAATAGCATGACTTTTTATCAGCCTTAAACTGACACCTAAACACACACACAATCATAGCATACGTACACACACACGTACTCAAGTAGAGTTGCTATCATTTTCTTGGCATTTTCCGTTCAGCTTTATCAAATCAAAACTCCGAGGCGCTGCTACTTTTTTAAATAAGCATAAACACACAGGGACAGTCTTCTGTCGGTTGTCTGCAGCCTCCACTCGCCACGCCTCCCACTTGGCAGACAAAAAATAGAAGCAGAAAGACTTAATGTGCAGCTGGGGAATAGGCCAGAGCAAGCAAATAGGAAAAGGCTAAGGATGCGGCATGACTTGTGGCAAAATTCGGCCTAACTATAAAAATCTTTATCGGCATGTGCGTAAAGCGAGGAGACCAGTGCAGGGGAGGAGGAGTAGGGGAGCTGAAGGGGAGGACACAGTCTGCCTAAGCAGCACAAATCCAATTTTGAGCAGCATTTAAGTGTCGTCCTGCCAACGTCTATGCCGTTTCCTGTGACCCCTTCAGCTGCCTATTGAAGAACAAGTTTGCTTTTCTCTCTCTCTCTCTTTCATTCTTTTTAAGCTATGCATATACTAACATACATGTATGTACTATAAATATATGCGTGTGTGTGTTTGGCTTGTTCTGGCCGTGACATTGTCATGGGCTTCTACTCAGCAAATATTTGACTTGATTTTACGTTCCTTTGCCTTTTTGGCGCGCGCCTAAAATGCTGCAATGAAAAGTTATTCTACAAAAGGAAACAAACTTTATTTACATACTTGATTTATATATTATATTTAACAAATATGCACAAATTGAGTAAGCGTGTAGAACATTTAGATAAATAGCGAGAGTTAAGCTGTGATCAATATAAAAATAAATTGTGATAAAACTTGTAATTAAATGTTTAACTTTTAATGTGGTACTGGAACTTCCTCCAAGAACACAGCCGGTGGATATTATATATTATATTATACTCGAATTTTTAAGTTTTATTTTAAATTTTTTTCTATTTTTTTCATCAAATATATATTTTTGGAACTAATACCGTTTAATTA